CCCTGCTGCTCCGGCGGAGCGCCCGGCTCAAGGAGCATCAACAGGAATTCTTGTTGAGGGAGCAATGGTTCAGCCGGTTAATTTGAAAAAGTGACTTTGCTAATCATTTCCAGATAAGTTCTGCAGTGATTTGCGACTTTTTAATTTGTATTTATTCATTTTTTCTTACGCATCTCCCCAGGAGAACACCATACATTATGTTACACCTGCTCCTTTAAAGCATTGTTGATTTACTCATATCACAATTCCAACTTAGGGTTTGTAGCTCTCTACACTCCTTTTTATGGCGATTTACAGATTAATGGCTCCCACAGCCTTGCAGGGCACAGGATTTGTCACCCTGTGGTGGCCCAACCCCTCTTTAAGGCTCTGGGGACCACATCTCCCAAAAATGCAGCTGTGTGTCTGTTCCATAAGCTGATGCTCCTGCGGGTTAAAGCTTCCAGCTTCATTCTGAAGCTGCTGATGACTTGATGGGCTTTAATTAACGTGGGAGCCAGAGCTCTCAGCACTGTGGGATCTTCTCTGCAGAGTTGTCCCTGAGGTGCAGGGCTGGCTTTTGGACTGATGTTTTTGGGTTGGCAGCAGTGGGGAGTGGGGTTTTATTACTGAAGGGGGTTTCTTGGTGCTGGGGTCTCCCTGAGCATTCTCAGAGGAGAATGCTGCCTCAGCTTATGTCAGTCCTGGGCTGTTTCCCTAATTTCTGCAGGATCTGAGATGTGAAACCTTCCCAGCACCTCCCACCAGCAACCTCTGCCATGCCCTCATTTATTTTTTCTCCCTCTCCCCAAAACCATGTGATGTGACACTCAGGGGTCCCCAGGCTCTGCCCCACTCCACCAGCATTCCCTGGCACCCTGGCATTCCCTGCTTCCCATGAGGATTGAGGGGCATGGTTTGGAGGTGACTTTATTAGACAAGAAACCTGAGGCCAGTCCCAGGAATCACCAATCCCTTGTGGCTGAGCAGCACCTGGGTTTGGGATGGGCTCCTTTGCTTTTCCCACTGCAGCACGTGGTGGATTCTCTGCTTCACTGCCGTTTCCACAGCAGTCAGCCAGGTCAGGGGAAGGCAGAGCCTGAGCTCGGGGCAGGGAGTGGATGTAGGGTACTGAGGGGTGTTTTGTTTCAAAACCACCTTGCAGGGTACCCCCAAATCCTGTTTTCCTGCTGCCATGCTCTGTGTGCATTGCCACCAGCATCCATCCCATTTCCCATCACATCATGAGCGTTCCTGGGGTGTGGGGTGGGAATTGAGGGTGCCTTTACCAGCAGGCAAGAGCCAGTCTCTGATTTCTGCTGTCCCCAGGGAAAACCCTGACTTGACCTTCCAATCCTGTTGCAGTTGTGACCAACAAAAATCAGGAGATCTTGGAGCTGGACATCAAATCACAAAGCAATTATTTTACAGCATAAAGTAAAATTTTTAAATTGTAATTTTCTCTTGTATTGATTATATATTTTTTTTACCTTTACTTACTTTTGTATCTTAGAAGAATTGAAAGTTCTCAGTTTATCTAATCTTGTACTTCATGATCTTGTAGGAACTCCTCAGAGAGAACCAGCTGAGGTCCTTCTGCACTGCCTGTGTTTAATAGAAATAATTCCTGGGAGGAATTTGTCTGCCTGCTCTCCACACGGCTGGGGCTGTCCCAGGGGAAAGGAGCGTGTCTGGAAAGGGGGAGCAGGCGCAGGTCCATGGATGCAGCTCCCGACATCAGCAGGGCTCATGTGGAGCCAGGGATGCAGCCGTGCTGCTGCCACCAGGCTGAGGGCTAAACCTGCTGGATTTGCCTGCCCTGTGTGCCTGCAGCAGGGAATTCTCTTTAAAAACCAAAAAATCCCTGCAAAAGGAGCAGGGCTGGGCGATGGCGTGGCAGCGTCTGCCGGGAAGGATGTGCTGGCCCAGCAGGGATGAGGCTTTGGCTGCTCCTTGGAATGCTGAGTGCCCTCCCAGCGCTGAACGCTGCCATGGCATCCACGCAGAATTCCCAAATCCTCTCCCCCGTGCCCTGAACAGGACCCTGGAGCATGGGAGGGGTGATGGACACACCTGGGGCTGTCACACGGTGCTGTCCCACCACACCCCAAACTTGGGCTTTGCAGGGTGTTGCTGGCTGAGCACATGAATCAAAAAACTGGATTGGGGTGTGATGAAATCATGGCTGTCTGTAAAAGAGCTCCCTGGCTTGGAGTACAGCTCCTTGGCTTGGAGAACCACTCCTTGGCTCGCCTGGGTTTGAAGCAGCAGAATTCTCTTGGAGTGTGTTGGGGCTGTGCTCAGGGCTGGAGCTGTTGGTGTTTGTTCCCTTGCCAGGGACAGCCCTTCCCCTCTCCAGCACGAGCTGGGTGGGAGGAGAAGCTGCCCTGGCCAGCAGCGGTGCCAAAAGTCAGGAGAGGCTCGATTGTGAGGGCTCCACAGAGGCTGAGTGGTTTTCCAGAGGCAAAGGCACTTTGGGGCTGGACTGGGAGCATGTGGTCATGGAGGGAGGATAAAGGTATTTTTAGCAAGGAGAAAAGCAGCTCCCCTCGCTCCCTTTGGGGCCCTAAAAAGTGCCGTGCAAGGGACAGCTTGGATACTCGCAAGTACTGCATAATTTTAGGGATGTGTAAGTGTAAGTTTAGATGGGATCTTGGGAAGAAATTCTTCCCTGTGAGGGTGGGCAGGCCCTGGCACATGTTGCTCAGACTGCCCCTGGATCCTTGGAAGTGCCCAAGGCCAGGCTGGACAGGGCTTGAGCAACCTGGGATAGTGGAAATTGTCCCTGCCCATGGCAGGGGTGGATGAGCTTTAAGATCCCTCCCAACCCAAACCTTTCCATGATGATCCTACAACTCATAAAGCAGGAGCCTGGCAGGCATTGGAAAAGCAGGAAGCACCAGTTTGTACTGGACAAGGACGTTCCTTCAGGGATTGATTTACAGAGAGCCCAGCAAAACCCCTGCTAGCCAGGGTGTCCCACCCTGCAAGGGATTTTTCTGTGTTTGCCGTGCCTGAGGCAGGCACAGCCAAGGGAGGGTTTGCTGTTGAGTCTCCATGTGACATTAGGGAGGGTTTTGGGTTTGCCCTTTCCTGTTCTCTGTTTGGAAGGGGCAAGCTGTGTTGCAGAAATGTCAGAAAAGCAATCTGAAAACAAACTGGCAAAGTCCCAGTGGGAACTGGAGCTCCTGGGAAACCTGGACCTGGTGCTGCCAGTAAAGTTGGAGCCACAATCCAGGATTTGCTGTTGATCAGGGGCTTATAAATGACCTGTCTGTGGTCATTCAGGGCCACCTGGATGTCCAGCCCAGCTCCTTGGGGTTGTGCCATTCCCAAAACACTCGGCAAAAGCCACAGTCCTGGTGAAGATCCTGCTGGTGTGGCTTGTCCTGTCTGTGGGAGCTGCCCTGAGCCAGTCCCAGCATCGGTGAGGTTTTCTTGGGTTTCCTGTTTTGCCTCCACACTCTGTTGGGTTTGGGCCATCTGAAACAGCATTTTTCCAGCCCTGGAAGCTCTTTTTTCCCCCCACCAAACAAACAAGGAAAACATGGCCTTTTGTTATTTATATTTTTTGTGAGAGGAGGAGGAGATTTGGGACAGAATGAGCCCCAGGGCAGTGGCTTTTCTGCCTGCTCCTGGAGTTTTCTCTCTGTTTCTGGCACACTTTAAGCACCAAAGCAAATTCCTCCAGTTTGTCTGGGTCTCCCATCTGGTCTCCCCCATCCAGCCTCGGCACCCATTCCGTGCTTCCCAGAAACGCTGCACGGGGTGGAAATGTGCATCCAATCATGGGAAAAGCTGTTTTCTATCAATCCCCCTCTGCCTACGCTTACTTAAAAAATTCCCTGAGGGTTTTTTGGGAGGAGGAGACCTCAGAACCCCTGCACTGGCGACTCTTCAAGGATTCTCTGAGCCCCAGAGTTGGGTGTCCCCCCCAAATTGTGTCACTGCTCCGACAGCAGATGTCGAGCATAATGAGATTATTTCCAAGCACTTAAAATAATACTCCTGAAGCTCAAATACGCATTAGGATAATTTTATTTCCTCAGGGTTTGAAACTTTCAGGGTGTACTGGAGTCAGTTTTGTAAATTTTCTCAGTACCCAGTGGAGGTTGGGATGGTTTTTGATGTTCAAAGCAAAACTGAAATTTTGGATAACATCTTCATGTGCAACCACACACGTCAACAACATGACAACACAAGACTCCCAAGAACAACACAAGAGACACCAATGACAGGTCCCTGTTTTTTCAGCTCACACCAGAGCTCTGTGACTTAATGTGCCCTGGGAGGTGTCACATCTCCCTCTGGCTTGTGGCATATCTACTGTAATTTGTCTTCCAAATATTGATCCCCCATAATCAGCCAAGCACCTGCAGCTCCCAGGAGCCAGGTGGATCCTTCTGCTCAGCTCTCGGTGCCTTTTCCAGCAGCGTGAGCTGAGCCCAGTTTGTTTGAGCCCTCCCTTACAACACTGATGTGATATAGGTTAATACTCTTTGTTTGGTTACAGTCTTGCAGTCCAGATTAGGCTGCATTGGACCCAGGTGATGGATTTTTGTAGTGGAAAAGTTTTGGTTTACAGGGACATAATGAATTGTCCTGATGCAGAGCCCCGTGTGAGCATGGTGGATGCTCCTGGTGATGGTGGCTGTAGGTACCCAGGATCAGAGCTGAAATCCCCAGAGCTGTACCCAGGCTGAGCCTCTCACTCACAGCTCGGGGTTCAGAAGGATTCCCAATAATGACAAATACACAGAAGCAGAGGAACACCTGAAATGAGGCACCTGAACCCACTGCAGTTCAGCACAGGGGAGACTTTGGCATCAACAATGGCTTTTGAAGGGATGGAAGACAACAGCCCCCAGCAGCAACAGCACAACCATCAAATCTTTTGGCATCACAAGGTCCTCATAGATCAGGTCCTGGCATCTGCGGCGCACAGGGACAATTCCAGACGGATTTGGAGAGCAGAGCAATCCTCACTGCAGCTCTCAGAAGCCTTTGCGTGGACGGGGCTCTCACGAGATGGACTCCAGCAGCAGCTCATCAGGTGGCACGGTGGGGATGTCCATACTGTTTATTTGGCCAAAGAACTTGGGAAGAGACCAGAACTTGAGGCGAGGGAGATTCCTCTTCCTGAGGCGGATGTCGTGGGCAGTGTCGGTGCCGGAGGCGCTGCCGCGGCGGGGCGGGAGCCGCGCTCTCAGGGCCACGCAGCCGTGGCGCAGCAGCTGCGCCTGGAACTCGGAGGTCATGAAGTAGTAGAGGACGGGGTCCAGGCAGCAGTTGAGGCTGGCCAGGCACAGGGAGATGGGGTGGAAGCGCAGCGTGCTCCGGTGCACGGCGCAGTCCCGGATGACGTTCTCGATCACCATCATGAAGAAGGGGAAGTTGATGTGGTAGGGCGTGAAGCAGATGAAGAAGACGGCGGCGCACATGAGGACCATCCTCAGGGCCTTCCGCTTCTCGCCGGCGTCCTGCAGCGCCGTGGGGCCCTCCCGCAGGGAGTGCCACATCCTCCACGTGCACCAGGCGATGGTGCCGAAGGGGATGACGAAGCCGAACAGCTCCGCCACCGTCACCAGCGCGATGGCGGCCCCCGGGCTGAGCTGCTTCACGCCCAGGTCCGAGAAGCAGCTGTTGATGGAGTTGGACAGGGCTGGGCTCCTGACGATGATGAGGGGCAGGCAGGCAGCCCCCACCAAGAGCCAGACCAGGGCGCTGATGGCCACGTCGTAGCGGCGCTTCCAGCCCTTGGCGCGGAAGGGGTGCAGCAGGAACAGGTACCGCTGGATGCTGATGCAGCTGAGGAAGCAGATGCTGGCGTACATGTTGAGGTACTTCAGGTAGAAGCACACCTGGCACAGGAAGCTCCCGAAGGGCCAGGTGTGGTTGATGTAGTAGTAGGTGCGCAGGGGCAGTGAGAGGACGTGGGCCAGGTCGGCCACGGCCAGGTTGATCATGAAGATGACGGCTTTGCTCTTCCTGCTGAGGAAGCGGCACAGGACCCACAGGGCAGCGCTGTTGGCCAGGAGCCCCGGGATGAAGATGAGGGTGTAGGTGGTGGCGTAGAGGGTGGACTGGAAGGACATCTGGGGGTCGGAACAGTTCTCTGAGGACACGTTGCTCTCCATCCTGGCCGGGTCTCTTCACTCATGGGGTGGTCACAGCAGGGGGAGGGGTTCTGGAATGGGTAAAAAGATGCTGTAAAGCCAGAATCTCTCCATGGAGGTAATGTGCTTTAGGATAGAAGAGTCAGTTGTGTGTGCAAGTCAGTGTGTGGGGGGAAGAGTGACCCCACTCCCCGGGAGTGATTCCAGGCATCCTCCACCCTCTCCCGCAGAGGCGCTGCGGGATCTCGTGAGATGCCCCAATTACAGTGAATACCCAAATACAGTGAACATCCATCTCTTGATTGCCAGAGAGCTTCTGCATCTCCCCGGGTTTTCCAGAACCACTTTTATTTTACCAAGTTTCCCATCGCACTCTGTCAAATTGCTGCTCCACATCTACAAGCAATTTCAGCTGGACTGTAAATAAATAGGGATTTGAAGTGGATTTTGGCACTGTCTTTGCAGATCCATGCAGGGATCTGATGTGAATTGGCAGCAAAGGCAATAATTAACATCCCCAGGCAGCTGAGGCCAGGGGAGAGCTGCAGACAGATCCATCAGCTCTGGCTCCAGAGTTAAGGCTGGATTTATAAGTTAATAACTGGCCAAACACACGCCAGTTGCTCTGCTGGTCCTGCTAACTCAATTCCGCCACTCCCGGCACATTGTGCAGGCATCGTGCTGGAGCGGCAGGAATTATCCCTCAGCAGCAGGAATTATCCTTCAGCAACTGCTCAGGACATGCAGAGAGATAAATACAAGTCCTTTCTAGTTAAAGTAGAAATTCTTCTCCTCCATTTACCCATCCCTGCTCACCCAGTGCTGAGAGGATTCATCAGCAGGTCATGGGGAATTCAGGTGCTCCTGGTGCTCTCTGGAGAGTTGATGGATTTTGTCATTCATGAACAGATCCCATAGGAAATAATCTGTACTTTTGGGAAGAGGATTTGGAAATGGAGCCTGTGGGAGGTGGGCAGCCTGCCCTGCCCTTCCCTGCCTGGAGCTGGGGCTGGCAGAGCCCTCAGCACCTCCTATCTCTGTCACCCAGCCCCTCATCAGCAGTAATTAATTAAGAAGCAGCCACAGTGCTGTTTCCCAGAGCCTGATGTTTGTCACAGGGATGGATTTCCAGGGGCAAATCCATCCCAATGCTTCAAGGTACAGGATGAAGTCTCCTCCATCCTGCACCTCCTCACCTGAGCAGCCCTTTGGTGGGGTTACCACGTTTTCAGGATCAGCAGGAAATCATCATTTTAGATATTTTATATTTTTATGTGCAGATAAATATCTAAAATACAGTCCTGGCCTCTCGGCTGGCTGCCTCTCACCCTCACCTCTGATGTCAGCAGGGTCAGTGCTCCCACCCTGCTTTCCAAACGGAGCCTTTCCCAATCTGCCTTCTTGCTTTTCCTTGTTTTTCCAGTGGAACTGGGGCTGCTGAGTGAGGGCACCTCCCGGATGCCGACTGTGCCAGAGGTTTGTGATTGCTCCACTGAGTTGGGAAAGGCAGGGGAGAGTGGACATCTGTGCTGAGGGAACACTGGGGAACATCTCCTTGGTCCCTGCAGGATCCCTGTGCTCCTCACCTGCCCAAAAATCCATCAGGGACTCGTGCCCTTTGCACTCAGTCTGTTTAACCCAGGCAAAGGGGTGGCAGGACTTGTCTTCACATCCCTGCAGAAAACAGGGAGGGAGAACTGCCAGGGAGTGTGGGGATGCAGCTGTTCCCAGCTCCTGTCACAGCTGTGCAGTGACAGGGGTGGCACTTGGTGTGGGGCTCTCGGAAGGGTCGCAGAGCCCCCGGTGTCCCTGCCACACAGCTCAGCCCAAATCCTACACCTCTTCCATGGGGAGCCTCCCTGCTGCTTTTCTCCATGTTTTTGGCTCTCCCTGGGAGCACAGGAGTGCCTGCTCCTGGCAGGAGGGCTGGCTGCCACTGCCGGTCCCCAGCACAGCTTTGGAGGGCACTGGCAGGAAAGCAGCAGAGACCCCCACCCTGGGCTGGGGTCAGGCCAGGCTTGCTCGCTACAACAATTCCTGGGAAGGTGGAGTTGTACATTTTTATTGTTTTCCAGTTCTCCCTTTGCCCCATGCCCCTCCAGCTTCCTCCTGCCTTGCTGGTGGTGTCAGGACAGAGATGCTCCTGTGGGCTCTGTCTGGAGTTTTATTCAGTGCCTTTATAAATCTTCTATAAAATATTCCTGCCGTTCTTTGATTACTTTCCCATTTCATCCACACTTGGATTTAAACACGGGCAGGAGCAGGGAGTGGGTTTTTTTTTTTTTGGCAAAGCTGAGTTTTAATCAGCTGAAATTCCACAAGGGAGCCCAGTAGCCCGGGAGTCAGAGCACTGACTGTGGATGCAGCCCCGCCATTCATTAAACATCAAATAACTGCAATTAATTAGGAGGCAAGGCAGCTCTTAGAGCACCCGGGGCTGATTTTTGGAGTGTTCCTGGAGGCGAATGTCAGCGCTGGAAACCGCCCGGCCCCTGTGAATCAGCCCGGGCCCCACCCAGCCCCACACCACAGGGGTGTTCCTGCATTTGCTGCTCCCGATCCATTGGCAAATTCATCCTCATCTTTTCCATGGGCTGCTTGGACAACCCAGGCTAAAGCTGAACTCCAGGCATGGCTGGGGAGAGCCCTCCGAGCTGGGGGATGGGGGCAGAGCTGCCTCCCTTCAGGGCTGGGGATGCTGGAGGGAAAAGGAGGCTTGGGGGGAAAAAATTTAAAAATTAATAAATCCACTTATGGCTTGAAATGAGGTCCTGGTTTAAGTAGTGGAGTTTTCTGGCACTGGGGTTTGTAAGCAACGATTTTGTTTGTTTAATCTAGGCACTAATAGGAAATGCGTAAATAGAGCTGGTCGCTGATGGCAGCCTCTGTCAGTACGGACGAAATTGAGGTTTTTTTGGCTAAAGCAGCCTCTCCCCATGTCTTCTCCCACACCACAGCCTGCCCCAGGCACTGACTCTCCTCACCCACCCTCGGAGATGAATTTGTGGGCACAGCAGAAGCGGCTGAGGATGTTGCACCAGCTCCTACCCGATACCATCTCTTCTAGAACTACAAAGGAGCGACGAAGTTGCTAAAAGCGCGCAGGTTTCAGTCTGCTGAAGCAAAGAGCAGAACCGCCACTCACCTTGATGCACTGCCCATGCTGCGGGGGGCTCATAGCCGTGCTAGGGAGCAGGAGCAGCCAGCCTCCTGCTTTTCCTCCCCGCTGCTTCCCTCGGCAATCCCAGCGCCTCCTCGCTCAACTTCCACATGTTCTGGGAGCGCTGGAATGCTTGCCGGCATCTGCAGCCCGGTCCGGTGGCCGCAGAGCAGGAAATCCTGTATTTTCTTTCTCTTCTGCACACCAAACGTGTGCAGTTAATGACGTTCAAGCCGCTCGGGAAAGGCGATGACGTCGTTTGGTGCCCTGGGTTGGAGAGCGAGGATTTCTGTCCCCGCTGGGCACAGGGGCGGTGGGAGGGGATGGAGCCCTTCCCTCCGGCTGCTCCTGCTCACTTTGCCCGGGGAGAGCTGTAAAATACAGAAACAACCTCCCAATAAGTGCTCGCTGAAGGAAAACCGAGCGCTCTGCCAGTGTAAGTTACTGGAAGGGAGTAATTTTCCCTCATTTTCTTGGAAGCTTGGTTAGCCTCAGACTATCAAGGCTGGAGGACGGTTTGGACTTTATTCCTGACATAATGTGATGGTTTAAGGTGGAGATTTCCCCAAAACACTGTTGTTTAAAAAAACCCATAACGTGCGTAATTCCCAATCTTTTTCTTTAATTCCTTTAATTCCCTTCTGATACATGTGCACATATAAAGAGTTTTTAGCTGTTTTTCTGCCTGCTGACCAGGACTTCCTTTCTGCATGGCTGAAGAAGTGGTGCAACTTCATGGTGTAACTTCTTCTGAGCTGCCTCTTTTCCAGCTGAGCAGTTTTACCTGATATCCAGGGTCACAGCTCACAGCCCAGGGCTTGTACAGATAATTTGGCTGTTGGCTACTTTGCCTTCCTGAAGGTAACATAAAAATAGAAATATCCTTACCCTATGTTTTGTAAATGGTTCTGTGACCTCACAAAATTAACCGGAACAGAACTGTGGAAGAGAAATGAAAGGAGGAAGATAATATAAACTTGTTACCAGCTCAGGGGCTGGGGTCAGGAGTGCACCAGAGCTCTGCCACCTACTCAGCTGCCAAGTCTCCTTGTGCCAAGAAATCTCAGAATCTGAGAATGATTTGGATTGGGGACCTTAAAGACTCTGATTCCAGCACGCCTGCAACGGGCAGGGACACCTCCCACTATCCCAAATTTTTCCAAGCCCTGTCCAGCCTTGAACACTTCCAGGGATGGGGCAGCCCAAGCTTCTCAGGGCACCCTAAACCCCCATGGTTCTCATCTCAGAGGATTTGGGAGATGCAAGAGCTGTTTGTCATTCCCGGTTTTCTTCCCGTGCATCTCTTGCAGCAGCTGGTGCTGATCCTGGGAAGAAGGAGCAGCGCTCGTGTGTTTGTGGAGCATTCAGAGAGCACAGAAGGCAGGCTGGCACAGTGCCCCGTCCCTCTCCAGGGGGCAGAGGTTAATCCCAAAGTGAAGAGGCTGTTTTATCAGGATATCCTGCCTGGGACATCCTATTTCTGTGTCTGCAGCAGCATATCCAGCCATCCCCGAGCCCTATTTTTAGGTGTTTGTTTCCAGCTGTGCTGCTGGGGAGGGAGAGATCAGTGGGTGTCAGAGCCAAGCGAGGGCTCTGTAACCAAGCTGAGCCATTCCTCTGCTCCTTGGCTTTTTGGAGAACTTTTGCAGAAGATCACAACACCTGGCCATGAAAAGCTGAGGGATTGACAAAACTCAGTCCTCATCCTTCCACACACACAGATCAACCTCTCCATTCTTCTTTCAACTTGAGCAGGTTTTTGTTTAGCATTTCTGTTTCTCTGGCTCATCCCCAACACTAACGTGCCTTTCACACTTGGCAAGTTCTGCTTTCAAAGGCAGAAGACACAAAGGACTTTTAAAATAACTTTTAGAATAACTATGAGACTTTATCTGAGGCCTCCAGATAAATGTCTCTTCTCCTGCAGCCTGGTATCCTGTGGGCAGAGGGCCAAATGCAGATGATCAGCATCTCTCAAGCGCTCAGCATTGAGAATATCTGACAGGATGCACCTGAAGGATGTATGAAAAGCAGGGGGAGGAGGAGGTTTGTTCACACAAAGCAGCTTTACCCTTGTGCAGGGAGCTGAGCAGGGCTGGGTGAGCCCCCAGCTCATTGTCCCTCTCGCTGCCACACAGAGTTCTCTGCAGGGACAGCAGTCTGGGGAGATCTAATTTACTTTACAGCAAATAATTGTCAATGCCTCCCTTACTTTTTGGACTAAGCCTTTGTCCAATCCAGAAACCCAGCATTTTTGATTAAAAAGTACCAGTCATCCCCAAAATGTTTTAAGTGCAATGAAGTGGTTTCATGTTTCTGAACTGCAGGGTTGTTATCCTGCATTTCCAGCATATTTTGTTTTTTCTCTGGGCAGAGAGCTGGTAATTTCATTTAAGGGAAGCAAGAGGTACTGCAAGATTCTGCAGCTCAGAACCTGAAGCTGCAGAAAGGCTTTGAATCCTCAGGAGTTTTTTTCCATATATGCTTGTTCTCATACACGGGAGGGCCCTTCCAAGCAGGATGGGAGGTACCAGACATTTGCTCCTGGTTAGGATGGGGTGGCTCTGCAGAGAAAATTTGCTTTTGCTAAAAGGTGAATGGCTCACGTTCTAGAGGAAAAGAAATGTGTTTGCCCAGGGCTGTGCCTTGGGGATGGGCCAGTGCAGGTGGCTTGGAGACCTCACCACCTCTCCATCCTGAGCAGTTCCCTTCAGGGTGAGATGCTCCAACCCCAGGAGCCCTTCAGATCCACCTTTCACACCCATGTGGAGCTGCACCAAACCTCTTGATTTGGTTCAAGTCTGCCTTTCTGTGGCATGTCTTTTAAAACAGCTTTTGTGTGTCTGCCCAAGAAGGAGGAAAAGTCTTTTTCTACTTGTGAGTCTGAGCAGCAGGACCAGCACAAGAGATAATCCAGGAGCAACATCATGAAATTATATTTCCTCTTGTCAAAATAATAAACATGTTTTTTGGTCACAGGAAATGGGGTGAATTACAGGAACCTGAGCCAGGCTTGTTGTGCCTCTGACTGTGTGAGGCAAAGCAGCCCCTGCAGCCCAGATCCTGGGTCAGATCCAGCACCAGGCAGCTGGAATACTCTCCTCCTCACTGGAATGCCTGCTTTCTTCTCTTGAGATGCACACCGAGGTTTTGGAGGCCTGATGAAAGGGTTTGGATATCATGCATGGGTTTGTGGAGGCCAAATGGATCGTCTTGGACTTTTCTCTGCTCTGAGCTGCTGCTCTCTAGGCTGGCCCATCCTGACTGACTTTCCCTGGTGGTTTAAACCCATCTGGCAGCTGAACCCCACAGAGGTGGCTTAGCTCCACCCCAGCCAAAACCAGGGCACTTTCCCCCACACCAGAAGAGACTTTCAGTCAGAGTTATCTGATCCCCTGCACACCACAAGGTTGAAAGGGTTGAACGTGTGGCTTTTCCTCACAGGCTGGGGCTGCAGTATGGAACAGGAGCATTTTGGGGAACCTAAGGGAGTTCAGAGGGTGAATGAGGCAGGAATATGTGGGGAACTCACATGCCTGGGGATGCCATCATGGAGATGGAGAATGTCATCCCAGATGGAGACACCAAATCCTTGCTAAGGTTATGGGCAGGAGAGCCACTGTCACTCCTGGACACTCAGCAGCTGGAGCAGGTATTCCCATGCCTTGTCCATCTCCCACTACCTAGGACACCTTCCCATCCTCAAAATACTTCTAAATCTAATAGAAGTGTGGTAGATTCAAAAATTAAATAAATAACCACTATCCAGAGTGAAAACAAGCAACAAATCTGTTTAATAATAATAATAAAAGTTGTGTTCCTTTGCTGAACCCTGATCCCAGAGGAGCTGATCCCACACATTTTTCCAGGTACCAGTGATAACTACAAAACTCAACTGATGTTTGCAAAACAGCCTTTTTTTTTTTTTTTTTTTTTTTTTTTTTTAATCTTTTTTTTTTTTTTTTTTTTTGAGCATCAGTTCTTGGGAACTGATGCTCAAAAAACCCACAGAAGGAGCTACAGAGTTCCCGTAAGTGCCCTCGGTTTGTTTTCACAAGCTGATCAAGGGAGAAGGGTGCGAAAAGTGAAGGGACAGGAAACAGCTCCCAGTCACATGGAGGCTGTGCAAGGTCTATAAAAATCCTCAAAACAAGCACTGAAATTGAACTCTCCTTCTCTGACAACTTTATACAGAGTGTAGCTTATGAGAGACTGCTGAACTGACAATTGAATTGTGTGAGGTCAGCTCTGCCCGTGAGCATCCACCCCTTTGGAAGGGGGATCCTTGCAGTGTGTAAACGTTTCTTGTGTCAGTGACATCAGAGAGAACATTTCCATCGCCCCCAGTGCAACCTCCTCAGCTCAAAATCATCTTCTCACACCTAGGAGGAGAACTATGGCAGCTTATTGTGTTTAATCAGTGTTGCTGCCTTTTAGAGGGAAATGGTTGTTTAAACCCTGATTCTTGACTTTTCCTCTTTTTTTTTTTTTTTTTTTTTTTTTTTTTTTTTTTATTTTTTTTTTTTTTTTTTTTTTTGTAAAACAGAGAAGTGGGAAAACACAATATAAGGAAATATTTGGCTGAGCTACATCTTAATTAAATGAAATTGAGTGGTTGGGGTTAAAATACACATAGCAAGTGTTACTGGTATTTCTTCTGGTTTTGTAGCAACTGTTGCAAGACTGTACAAATTGTTCACATTCTTTTGAAAATATACTGATTTCCAAAGGCAATAAATTGGTGATTGTTTAGCCAAATCCATCCCCAGGTATCATGAGATACCCTTGAGGTTACAGAGTGGGTGGACTCGGCTGAAGAGCTGTAACTAATTAAAAATAAGGGGTAAATTAATCCTTCCTTGTTGCTGCTTTGCATAGCTATCTAAAAATGTAAACATTAGGATCATGACCAGACCTGGTGGAAAAAAAAAATCACAATAGTTTAGGAACTTAACTTTTGCTCTAACAGTGAAATCACCTTGGCAAGGAATCCTCTCTTTTTTAAAAGATGCATCAACTGAACAGGTTGAGCTGAGCTTTTTTGGGGCAGATTCATCTTAGGTACCTCTGGACCACACACAGAAGGAGTGAGAACCTGAGTGGTACCACCAGCACCATCAAACCCACCTGCACTGACCCCAGGACCACCATGGTCCTGCCCCAAGGGGTCCAAAGGCAAAAGCCACCTGCCCAGGTCCACCTTGACAGCTTGGAGGGAAGAAAGTCACCGTTGTCTCCCATGAAGGCAACAGAAAGTCACCTGGAGCAAGGGAAGGTGCCACTCTCTGGATGTTTGAGGAGAATTTGTCTTGCAGAGCATCTTGCACCAGCTGCAGGTGCAAGTTCTGGGATGTGTCAGCAATTGGGAGCAAACAGAGGTGGGTGAGGAGGGAAAGGAGGAGCAGAGCAGGAAGGTGAGTGTGGAAAGGGAGAGCAGAGGTCACTGGTGACCAGTGGGATGCACCAAACCCAGAAGCACATGGAAACCACCTGCACACCTTCACCTGTCCACAGCCCCCACTACAGAAACAACAATGTCCTTTGGTTGCTACTGGCCAGTTTCAGGTTCTTGTGTGGTTTTCCCTGAGAAGTTCCTTCAGCAGATGTCAGTGTATGAATGTGGGATTGTCTCTGGCTTGATCATAGAGCCTGTAACTGGGAAAATAGAAGAAAAGCCTGGGACTTTTCCACCATTTCCCACAAAAGTTTTCTTACTCCCTCCTGTGTATTTTCTAGTCCACTCAGGTCAGGTGGAGGTGGCACAGGGAGGGGGACAGTCACATCAATTGGGCCACTCACCAGATTCCAACACACCAGTCTTAGACAAGGTTTTATCTTCTATATACTGAAAAAATTCCACTGCCACAAAACTCCCATGGACAAAACTCCAGGATCTTCCACAATGGAGTTGGCAATGGAGTATCCCAGGCCAGTCTCAGATTTCACATGAAACACCTTCGTTTCTTCCAAGTGGCTTTCTTGTCATCCCTTCATCGACGAGGCGCTCTCTTTGCTCATGAGCCGGCTCCGGATGGCCATGCTGCTGTGCCTGGAAATCTGCTCCTGGAACTCGGAAGTCATGAAGAAATAGATGATGGGATCCAAGCAGCAGTCGAAGCTGGCGAGGCTCAGGCAGAAGGGCTGGGTGTAGAGTGTGATGGTGCTCAGCAAGCAGTTGGTGATGACATTCTCCTTCACCAACATGTAGAAGAAGAAGTTGATGTGGTAGGGTGCAAAACACACACAGAACACAATGGCACACATGGAAACCATCCTGAGGGCCTTCCTCCTCTCCCCGCTGTTTTCCTCTGGGATATGGAAGCCCCGGATGGAGTCTCTTGTTTTCCACGTGCAAAATAAGATGATGACGAGCGGGCCCACAAAGCCCAGGAGCTCGGCAGTGCCGGTCATCAGCACCGTGCCCACCTTGCTGTCGATCGGCTTCACCTGCAGGTCGGCAAAGCAGCTGGTGGTGTTGGCACCCAGCCCGTGGCTCCTCATGATGGGGAAGGGCACGCAGAGGGCCCCCACCACGAGCCAGACCAGGGCGCTGATGGCCACGTCGTAGCGGCGCTTCCAGCCCTTGGCGCGGAAGGGGTGGTACAAGAAGAAGTACCGCTGGATGCTGATGCAGGTGAGGAAGCAGATGCTGGCGTACATGTTGAGGTACTTCAGGTAGAAGCAGAGCAAGCACAGGACATCCCCAAAGGGCCAGGTGTGGTTGATGTAGTAGTAGATGCGCAGGGGCAGTGAGAGGACGTGGGCCAGGTCGGCCACGGCCAGGTTGATCATGAAGATGACGGCTTTGCTCTTCCTGCTGAGGAAGCGGCACAGGACCCACAGGGCAGCGCTGTTGGCCAGGAGCCCCGGGATGAAGATGAGGGTGTAGGTGGTGGCGTAGAGGCTGCTCTTGAAGTTGATGTCCTGATGGGAGCAGCTCTGGTTGCTCTGGCTCATGACTGGGTTGCTGGAAGAGGCTGTGGTAGTGTGGGGTGGGTGGGTCATTCCTGCGGAGACAAAAACGGGATGTGAAGGCAAAGGCTCTGCAAGAGCTGTCAGTGCTCACATCTGCATCTCCCATTTGGCTGTTGTTGTCTGCATGAAACATCCTGCAATCGTGTTCAGAGCTGCCCTGTCAGAGGTCCCACTGTTCCCTCAGGCGTGGGAGACCATTCCTGGTGTATCAGTCCCAGGGGCACAAGTGAAGCTGTGCCACACTGATCACGGGGCAGCAGGAGAAGCTGCCCATCCTTCGGCCATCTCCTCAAGATCTCCTGTGGTTTGGTCTCTGGGAGCAAGGCAGGAATACATAGATGAAAGTGGGCATATCCCAGCCTCCATCATGGTCACAGCCCGGCGCTCGGAGTGTGGGTGCCAAGCACTGAAGAATGGAATGATTTGGTTTGAAAGGACCTTAAAACCCATCCAGTGCCAGCCCCTGCCATGGGCAGAGACACCTTCCACTGTCCCAGGCTGCTCCAAGCCCCATCCAACCTGGCTTTGGACACTTTCAGGGATATGTTGGGCTGTGTTGGACATTATGTGGGGTACAGGCCTCTGAGCCCCTCATGGACCCACTTTGTCTGGCATTACGGGCACAGACCACATGCAAAAGGGTAGCAGGGAGTGGACTTGGAAAATGTGACTGTTGTGAACACAACCAGTGCTCCTGAAGTGCTCTGTTAATGCATTTAAGCTGATGGAACACACAGAGACCTGGTCACGCCACCAACTTCTATTCTCATCACCATGGCAGCCTCAGTCTGACTCTTTTTTCCATCAGATAATTTTACTTTTTAGCTGCTGCCAATTTCTGCCTCTCAGCCATCAGCAAAATGCCACGTGTTGAACTGTTGGGCCACTTTTGCCAGCTTCTGTAACCGGGATCAGTAAGTTTGGTCACTCGTCCTCAGCAAGGCAACACAGGCAGGACTTGGGGTTTATTGGGGGTTTCCTCACAGGGTTATAATTCTCATTACAGTGATTCCCTCTCATGTTGAATACAATGGTTAAAGCTGAAGATCAGCTTCATGTGGCACTGCAGACACTGATTCACTCCTCTGACTCATTTCCTGCAACGGGCATTTGCCAGAAAAACTGTCTCTGTAGGTAGAAATTAGTAACTCTTACTCTGTTACTGAAGTTTTTTCCTTCGTGTTACCAAAAGACTTGAGTTTAGAGCTCTCAGTGCCACAGAGCATAAATTGCTGGGTTTTCAGCCTCTGAATCATTGTGGTGCTTACATCTGACAGCTCATCCAGACTCTGTCCAGGCTGCCATGGCAGGCTTGGGATTCAGTCCCCAAAATGCCCAGACATGGCGAGGTCCCACATGGGACACGGCCAACGAGCAGAGCCTTGTAACCCCAAAGAGATTCTTGCTTTTCTTTCTCAGCTTCTCTCTCACATTCCCACAGCCTTCAAAAGGAAAATCTGTGTTTATCTCCTGCAGCAGACTCATCTTCAGCAGCTCCAGCTGCTCCAAGCACCAGGGAAGCTCTGCCTTGGGGAAGGTCTCTGGCTCGTGCCCTTCCTTCCCCAAGATGTTGGATCCCAGGCCCTCAGAGCTGCTTTTATCCCTCCAGATCCTTCCCAATCCCCTCCCCACACTCAGCTCTGGGACAGGATGTGCTGCTCCGTGTTCCCCATCACAGGACACCACAGCCCTGCTCCTGCCACGAGGCCAAAACAGGTCCATGAGGAAGGGAAGAGGCTCCAAGTGTGACAGAAATGTAGAAAATTCATCTGGCTCGTGGATTTATCTCCCCTGAGAAGCACAATGGAGGCCTCCTGCTCCTCCTGCTCTCCACCTGGGAGTCAGGACAGGGAGTGAAGAGGGACTGGAGCTGAGCATGGGGTTGTTCCTCCCCTCAGAGTGGGGGATGTGGGCTAAATCCCATTTCCTGGGACAGCTGTGAATTTCTGCTGCTTGGGAGGTTTCATCCCTTTCCAGCTGTTGTCTAGCTGGCCATGGCTTTATCTCTGGTAAAAGCACACCCTCTGCACCTTCTGTCCCTTCAGGTCTCCTCTCCCCTTGCCAATAAACCCTTTTCCAAGTCCTCACATGCCTGGTTTCCTTGGATATCAAAGTTGGAAGGTCTGGCCTGACAGACACAGCTGGAGGGAGACCATTAAAACCACACAGGATTAGGTACAACTGCAAAATGTTATATTTTAAAGACACTTTTATAATTAATTATGGAATTAAATGCTGGCCAGTGTGTGCTTGCTCTTCAGCCCCACGAGTTACAGCAGCCAAGGTATTTAAATACAGCTAGGCCTTGTTTAGTCCCTTCCAACCCAGAATATTCTGTGATTCTGTGACTTAGCTCTCATGTGACACTAAGGACAATGGGGTGATGGGGTGAAGGTCTGCTGACTCAAACTGGGCTCAGACCAGAGGCTTTAGGGCAAACTGCTGTGTCCAGCATGTGTGCCTGGACCACGAGGGTGATGCTGAGGGCACACACTCCATCCCAGAGCTCAGCTTGGCTTCCTGGTGGGACAAACCCTGCCCAGGCAGGAGCCCGAGGCCTTGGGGGAGCCCAGAGCATGGAGAGCTTCCCCTTCATCCATCACCTTCATCTGCTAATTGTCCACAAGGTGTCAGAATTCATCCAAATTCCATTTCTTGGCTCTCTCTACTCTGGTTTTTCTCACCCCAAGTGTTGTCTGAGTGACAGCAGTGGGAGCTCTCATGAGTCCACCTTGCCATCATTTAGGAGGATCCCAAACTGAAAACATCCAGTGCTGCTGAATAACTGATATGAGGGGAAAAAATTGTTCCCAGGAGTGGGCCTGGTTGCTGGTATCTTTTCTGATGCTCTATAAAGGTCTTTTCCAACTTAAATGATTCTATGGTTCAATTTTCAGGTAGAAGAATCCTGAAAAGCCACACTTTGGTGGAGATCATGGAGCTGTGGTGAACCTTGGAGCCAGGAGGTTATAAAACCCATCCTGCAGGTGATGTCCCAGCCCCACCATCCCAGGAGATCTAATTTTCAGAGGAGGTGGATGCCCTGGAGTCAGAAAATCCCTTTCTGCATCAGGGAGCTCAGGGTCTGAGCAGGGTGTCCTGGCTGGCAGTGCACACAATTAATACATTACCACAATTAATATGCACGAGGTGGTGTCTGCTGGCTCATCAGCAGGGCCTTTCTGAGGATTAAGAATTTCATTACAAAACCATAAAAACATAACAAGATTAAGCCTTCTTTTTAATCAAAATGCACCCAGACACGCACAGTGCACTACAAAATTTCTGCATTTCTGCCTTTCCCCTCATTTTGGCTCAGACTGAGACTTAATCCCACACCAACCCCTTCTCTTCCTACTTGTGCACAAAAGCAGATGCTTGAGATACCGTTGAGGGTCCTAAAATTACTTGTCCAAAGTCCTTCACTGCATGGTGGGTGTGCAACAGGGGCTGAAGAAAATTGAAATCACCAGTAGATTTCAGCAGTGCTCATTGACATCTTACAGAGAGAGGTGGCTCCCACTGCAACATTGCTTTCAGAATATGAATTAAAAAAAAAAACAAACAGTGTCAAATAAACACACTGAGATCCAACCACTATTTTTTATATATTTTGTGAGATTCTGCATCCCTGATGCTGTTGCAATAAGGATGTAAGAAGAGAGCATGTTACTACTGGAAACTAAGCATAGCATTCCTAGGCAAAATGTGTTCATCTGGATAGGCTGAGAAGCTCAGGGATGTCATTCCAGAGCCCTGGATCTGTCTGAGGTGCCCATCAGAGCCAGGTTAATTGATTTGATTGGGTACAAACATCTCCACGCTCTGCCCTCAGTGCGTGGCTGTGACACCAGAGTGAAACGTCTGCGCTCCGAGTGGAACATTTTACAGTTAAAGGGGCTTTTTTTGGTTTTCTTTCACAGAAAAAAGAGCAGGTCTGGGCTGTCTGCTGTATTTTCGTTTTGCAGCACTGGTGGAGCTCCTTCCTGCAGCTGCAGCAGAGACAACAGCCCCCTCAGGGTGCTGGCTCCAGGCTGTCCCACGGATGCACTTCCCTCATGGGTGGAATTCCCATGGCTGATGATGCTGGCACTGGGGCCAAAGTCCCTGAACTTTTACTTGACACCAAAAATATACCCTTGAAAAGAACCCCACTGTCCCTGCAGAGCTCCTGCTCCAGCCTGCTGAGGAACCCCCTCCTGCAGATCCCAACATCCTGGTTCACCTTCTCTGAGATTCCCTCTTGATCCACGTGCAGAAATCTTGGATTCAGGGGCCACCCACTCTAAATCCTGTCTGTGACCATCCCATGGGCTGTTTGCTGGGCTCCCAGCAGAGCTGAGCTGCTGGTGCAAGTGAAAGCAAAGCCAGCAGAAAAGCACCTTTTACAAAGTACAGCTGGAAACCTGCAGACCATGAAGTCAAGTTCAAAGCCTTCAGCCCATGAAGTCAAGTTCAAAGCCTTCAGCCCATGAAGTTAAATTTAAAATCTTTAGCCCATGAAATCAAGTTTTAAACCAGAGCACTGACTACAGCATGAATTAGGAATTAAAACCACCTCAGAATTCTCATTAGCAAATGCAAGTCCAAGCAATCCTGCTATTTTTGTCATCTTGTGTCCCCTCACTATTATCAGTTTCCTCCTGTTGCTGCTCACTCACAGAGCCTTAGATGGCACAAAGATGGGCAGCACATGGATTTTATTTTACGGCAGTATAAATTCCGGTTGGAAAAAACAGATTTGTGTTTTACCCTTACTGTCAAGTATGACTCTAAAATAAACTATGTTCCCAGAGGAATCAGGGAAGAGACAGAAATGATCCCTATGAACGACGCTGCAGAACAGTTGGACACCACTAAACCCACGCCTGACATTTGTTTTTTGCAGGCGCAGCAGCCGCTGTTTGAACTCCTCCATGTGTTCACCCAGAGCATTGGCACACGAGGAGAGCAGCAGCTGCAGCTGCTGCTGCAGGGCTCCAAGGGGCACAAAACTCCTCCTGGCAAGAGCCACCCCCTAAGGAAAAGCCCGAGGGAAGAAAGGGAGGTTTCTGCAGGAAGCAGCACGAGAGCGGTTCTAGATCCCAAGGAGAGGGTTTCAAGCAGCCTTACCTTGGCGGGCAGAGCTGTGCTCAGCGCAGCCGAGTGCTCAGGAGGAAGTGGAATGTCCCCTGCACCACTGTTTACACCAGCGAGGGGACCTGGGTGACATCAGGAGGTGCCACAAAAGGTGCTGCTTTTGCTGGTGCTTGGCTGTGGCTCCAACCCTGCTCCCAGCCCTGCAGCTCAGTCCTGGTCAGGTGTCCCCACAAAGACCCCAAAATGGGGTTACGTGCCTTTGTCCCAGGTGTTTTCTGTCCTGTGGCTCTGCTGGGCTGGCTGGGCACCCACTGGGAAGATTCCAAGTGGAGCTGGGTGCAGAGCACCCCTTCCTCCCCTCCAATTCTTCCTCCCCTCCAATTCTTCCTCCTCTCCAACTCTTCCTCCCCTCCAATTCTTCCTCCCCTCCAATTCTTCCTCCTC